GCTTATTCTACTGAGCCATCTCCCCAGCCCCTGTTTTGTTTTGTTTTGTTTTGTTGTGGTACCAGGAATTGAAGTCAGGACCTTGTGCTTGCCAGGCAAGCACTTATTCCACTCAGCTATCTCCCCAGCCCCAGGAGAGAAGATTTTTAAATAAGCCCAACACAAAGAAATGATAAATGTTTGAAATGATGGCTATGCTAATTTTCTGATGTTATCTTCACACAGTGTGTAAATGTATCAACATATCTCATCTCACCCCCATAAATATATACAATTATTCTGTCAAGAAATAAAAATTTGGGAGACTGGGCATATAGTTCTGTGGTAGAGTAGCTTGCCTATCATGCATGAAGCCCTGAGTTCTATCCCTAGCACCACAAAGAAAAGTTTAAACAAGACAAAAATAATATATTACTCATTAATAATTAAACTTTTCATTTCTTCCCATACACATTTTTTTCAGGAGCTAAGAGAGAGGAAGCTCCAGGCAGACAAGGGACTATACCAAGAAAGAGGTCATGGATCCCAGCAGGAGAAGACCCAACCCAAGAGGAAGAGAAGGGTCCCGAAGCTTCCCAGCAGGGGTAGGAAGTTCCCAGGTATGGGTTCTGCCCACAGGACAGCAGCTTCCCCGGGTGGGAGCTGGGGACACAGGCTGGTGGCTGCTGAGCGGGTACAGAAGTGGGTTTATGTGAGCCTCCTGGAACTGGATCTCAAGAAGCCCTCAGGGGCACAAGCGTGGGCCCGTCACCTCCCTGACAAAGGAGGTCCCTGGTAATATCTTCACATGATCATAGGTATTTTTTTCAGTTTTTATGTTTTATTAGTACATGTCTGCAGTACATAATGATTGCCTTCCTTGTGGGGAGTCAGTATGTGTACATTCCACATCCCAATTCTTTTTTTCACCCCTTCTCTCCCCATTTCCCCCCCTCCATTCCTTGATATCCTTCCCATTTGAAAAAAAAAAATTCTCTTTATTTCTCATTATCTTCTCTTCTGCTCTCATTTATAATTTGAGTTTCTCACATAAGAAAAACCATGTGATTTTTTAAATTTAAATAATTTATTTATTTGGTACAGAGTCTCTGCTACCCAGCTCAGACTCAGTGATCCTCCTGTCTCAGCCTCCTCGGCTCTGGGATTACAGGTGTGCCCCACTACACCCAGTTGCAGTGGCCTGCATAGTGGGAGCCCAGCACAGCATGTGGTACCAGGGGTCGAACCTGGGTCCTTGTGCTTGGCAGGCAGGCACTTAGACCACTGAGCCATCTCCCCAGCACCCCCCATGTGATATTTCAGCTTGTGTGTTGTTTCAAAGTGCACCCACTTTCCTACAGATGATGCAAGTCCGTTACTCTTTACTGCAGCAGCATCCTCCATTGTGTGTAGGTGCAACATTTTCTTTATCCTTTTATCTCTCAAAGGACTTCAAGTTATTTCCAGCATAGTCAAATAAAGTAGCCACTGACACCTTCCACTCTTCTGCTTTTCACTCTTCTCCTTGTGACAGGTGACTTTAAAATCCAATTAAGAGGGTAGGTTGAAAATACATTCGACTTGAGCCAAGAAGGAGCTAGTCACATCATGCATGCGTCTCTAGCTGATGTCCTAGCAAAGGAATGGTTCTCCAGGGGACTTTTGCCTACCACTGAGCAGATTCACTGTGCCTGGGCGTGGAGGGCAGCACAAAGGTTGGGCAAGAGCTGCTCTGAAGCACCGACCCCCGCAGAGAAGAAATGGGCTAGAGGAAACTGTATTACCTTTCTCCTCTCTCCATGAAAAATTACAGGTCTTTGTCATATATAAGCAAAAATTGAGAGGAAAATGGATTTTAGATGAATTTTGGAAGATTGTTAAGAAATATTTTTCCAGGGGCTGGGGAGATAGCTTGGTGGTTCAAACACCTGCTGGTAAGCGCAAAAACCAGAGTACTACATGCCGTGCAGCCCCAAAACCGGGCATGGTGGCGCATGCCTGTAATCCCAGCACTAGGGAGGCTGAGACAGGAGGATCACTGCAAGTCTGAGCTGCATAGGGAGACCCTATATCAAATAATAATTTTAAAAATATTCTTCTGGAGTTGTGCCATTTATGGTAGCTTTTGACTTTTTGTCATTTTCAATTTACATTATTTTAAACCTTTTATTTATTTATTTGATACAGGGTCTTGCTATGCAGCTCAGACTCATAGTGATCCTCCTGTCTCAGCCTCCTCAGCACTGGGATTACAGGCTTGTGCCACCACACCCAGTTTCCATGGCCAGCATGGCATGCGGTACCGTGGATGCAACTGCACAGTTCCTTGCACTTGCCAGGCAGGCACTTATAGCACCGAGATATTTCCCCAGACATTTAATTTTTTTGCCATAGTTTTATT